ATTCTGGATCAGTAAAAATTTGCATTCATGCGTAGTTTACCAGTAGGCAGGTTAAGTTCATAAATGGACCATGTCGGTCTACGTTTTCGTATAGCCCCCATGTAACGGTACCTCTCGATATTCGGTATTTTCATTATTTTACATACATTATTTACCGGAATTACTTAAAATTTTATATTTGAAGTTCGTAATGGGTACTACATCCTATGACAAAAATTTTTGTATGCAGGTCCACGTCTTCGTATAGCCCCCATATAACGGTACCCCCCGATATTCGGGATTTTCATGATTTTAGCTACATTATTTACCGGAATTACTAAAAATTTCGTACTGAAAGATCCTAATGGATACTGCAACCTTTGGCAAAAAATTGTGTATACAGGTTGAGACTTTCATGTAGCCACCATATAGTGGTACCTCCCGATATTCGGTATTTTCATGATTTTAGCGACATTATTTACCGGAATTACTTAAAATTTCATATTTGAAGTTCGTAACTGGTACTACAGCCTATGACAAAAATTTTTGTATGCAGACCGAATTCTTCTTATAACCCCCATATAACGGTACCTCCCGATATTTGGTATTTTGATGATTTCAGCAGCATTATTCATCGACATCGTTTCAAATTTGGTACTGGAAGATACCAATGAGTACTACAGCCTATAGCAAACATTTTTGTATGCAAGTTTAATTTTTCGAGTTCCTTGCAAATTGTGGAGGGTATTAAAAGTTCGGTCCGGCCGAATTTAGCTGCTTTTTTACTTGTTTTTTTTTTATTTTTCAAAAAACCGCTCGGGAAATGGAGATTATGAGGTTATATATTGGTCTTTGAAGACCAGAAATTTGAAAGGATTTTTCCTTAAAAATAACCTTTAAAACAAGACATGTTTGGTGATATTTTAGTCCTTGAAAGTAGACGTTTGATGGTCTATAGGTCTCAGATTTTTTTTTGTAATAAATCAAAGCTTCTGACCCTGAAACCTTTGTTACTGAATGTACTAAAAATCCCTGTAGAATTCAAGTATTCAGATCTATATGTCCTTGAGGTCTAGAAATGTCCTCGAAGAATGCTCCTTATTGTTTGTTTCTTGTAAAAATAAATTTTATGTTACTTTTGGTTTACTACACATTTTGCAAAGCTCTTGTGTCTTTCTCTGTCCTATAGAGGTTCTTTAGGGCTTCCTCTATTCTATGGAAGCCCCAAAGGCTTCTTCTGGCTAAAATGCTGTTCGAACTTTGCAGAAATATCTTCAATAACAAGTTCTTTTCATGGATAGTCTTTGAAATTCTCACAAAGTCTACTTTTGTATGTCACATATTTCCTAAAGGAATTTTTTTAGTAGGGGTCCTCGATAGTCCTTAGAAAGTCCTTGTAGAAAAATGTTATGTAAAAAAACACAATGAACTTTATAACTACTTGTCCTGCATTTCTCGAAATAATGTCTTTACCTTCACTGCGTATGAGTGTCTTCATCACTCATACGACACCATATCTCTCTTTCCTAGCAAACACCGCGTTTCCATGTACCTGCTTAAAATTCCAACAATTGCTATATTTGTGGTAATTTTCCGTTCGATTAAGTCTCTGCTTTTTCCCGTGAATTCCATGAATATAAAAAGAACTATTGAGGAGAGGAGCATTAGACCTTTTAACTTGTCTGTGACAGAACAATAAATCAAGCGTGTCCAACATGACAAACTGAAAACATGTAACCCACACACACACCATACCTTCCCCTCATTCTTACCCCCCCCCCCACCTCATCCTTACAATCGTCTATGGCCTCGTGGCGCACAGAGAGACCCCACAGAAGATAAGGCGAAGGAGCAAAGATGAAAATAGAAAAGCCTCAACAACATTTTGTGGCATTTAAGCAGTAAATATTGAACACGTCCAACCAACGACAATAACAAATAAAATGGTCAAACAAAAAAACATCCCTGGAAAACAGATGACCAACAGCAAAAGGTTGTCGGATGAATATCACACCTAAGGTTACATAATAATTGCAGGTAGTCGAATGGTCGTTGGGTTGACCGGCTGGCTGGCTGGTTGCTTGGGTATTGTCTGCCAAGGGTATTTGTTGTATTCTTTGTATACATAAAATATAAGGTTCGACGCCAACCAGATAGAGAGATTGACCCAACATCACCACCAATGGGGTAGCCTAACATTAAGGCGACAGAAGTTTCAATTTGTTGACTAAATGAACTTTCATTGACAGAGGTCTTTGTTTTACTCGGTGGCAACAAAGGAAATGGCAAAAGGATAATTTAATGAGGATAGGGGAGGGGGTGAAGGAAATATGAGATGAAGGGAGATAAGGAGAGATATGAAAAATGTAGATAAAAAAGAAGCATCAGGGTTCCCCTTGGCCACAAAGTCTCTCAAGGCATTTCATAGAAGCCTCTGAGGGCTTCTGCTGGCCTATAGAAGCTTTTGAGGGCTTCTGCTGGCCTATAGAAGCCTCTGAGGGCTTCTGCTGGCCTATAGATGCCTCTAAGGGCTTCTGCTAGTCTCTAGAAGTCCCTGGGGCTTCTGCTGGCCTACAGAAGCCTTTGAGGGCTTCTGCTGGCCTATAGAAGCATCTAAGGGCTTCTGCTGGTCTACAGAAGCCCCTGGGCGTTTTGGCGGCCTTTAGAAGCCTCTGAGGCTTCTGCTAGCCTTTAGAAGCCTCTGAGGCTTCTGCTAGCCTATAGAAGCCCCTGGGGCTTTTGGTAGCCTATAGAAACCCCTGAGGCTTCTGCTAGCCTATAGAAGCCCCTGAGGCTTCTGCTAGCCTATAGAAGCCCCTGAGGCTTCTGCTAGCCTATAGAAGCCCCTGAGGCTTCTGCTAGCCTATAGAAGCCCCTGAGGCTTCTGCTAGCCTATAGAAGCCCCTGAGGCTTCTGCTAGCCTATAGAAGCCCCTAAGGCTTCTGCTAGCCTATAGAAGCCCCTGAGGCTTCTGCTAGCCTATAGAAACCCCTGAGGCTTCTGCTAGCCTATAGAAGCCCCTGAGAAGAAGCTTCTGCTAGCCTATAGAAGCCCCTGAGGCTTCTGCTAGCCTATAGAAGCCCCTGAGGCTTCTGCTAGCCTATAGAAGCCCCTAAGGCTTCTGCTAGCCTATAGAAGCCCCTGAGGCTTCTGCTAGCCTATAGAAGCCCCTGAGGCTTCTGCTAGCCTATAGAAGCCCCTAAGGCTTCTGCTAGCCTATAGAAGCCCCTGAGGCTTTTGCTAGTCTATAGAAGCCCCTGGGGCTTCTGCTAGTCTATAGAAGGCCCTGGGGTTTCTGCTAGTCTATAGAAGCCCCTGAGGCTTCTGCTAGCCTATAGAAGCCCCTGGGGCTTCAGCTAGTCTATAGAAGCCTCTGAAGGCTTCTGCTGGCCTATGGAAGCCTCTGAGGGCTGCTGCTGGCCTATAGAAGCCTCTGAGGGCTTCTGCTGGCCTATAGAAGCCTCTGAGGGCTTCTGCTGGCCTATAGAAGCCTCTGAGGGCTTCTGCTGGCCTATAGAAGCCTCTGAGGGCTTCTGCTAGTCTATAGAAGCCCATGGGGCTTCTGCTAGTCTATAGAAGCTCATGGGGCTTCTGCTAGTCTATAGAAGCCCATGGGGCTTTTGGTAGCCTATAGAAACCCCTGAGGCTTCTGCTAGCCTATAGAAGCTCCTGAGAAGAAGCTTCTGCTAGCCTATAGAAGCCCCTGAGGCTTCTGCTAGCCTATAGAAGCCCCTGAGAAGAAGCTTCTGCTGGCCTACAGAAGCCTTTGAGGGCTTCTGCTGGCCTATAGAAGCCTCTAAGGGCTTCTGCTGGTCTACAGAAGTCCCTGGGCGTTTTGGCGGCCTTTAGAAGCCTCTGAGGCTTCTGCTAGCCTTTAGAAGCCTCTGAGGCTTCTGCTAGCCTATAGAAGCCCCTGGGGCTTTTGGTAGCCTATAGAAACCCCTGAGGCTTCTGCTAGCCTATAGAAGCCCCTGAGAAGAAGCTTCTGCTAGCCTATAGAAGCCCCTGAGAAGAAGCTTCTGCTAGCCTATAGAAGCCCCTGAGGCTTCTGCTAGCCTATAGAAGCCCCTGAGGCTTCTGCTAGCCTATAGAAGCCCATGGGGCTTCTGCTAGTCCATAGAAGCTCATGGGGCTTCTGCTAGTCTATAGAAGCCTCTGAAGGCTTCTGCTAGTCTATAGAAGCCTCTGAAGGCCTCTGCTAGTCTATAGAAGCCTCTGAGGGCTTCTGCTATTCTATAGAAGCCTCTGAAGGCCTCTGCTAGTCTATATAGAAGCCTCTGAAGGCTTCTGCTAGTCTATAGAAGCCTCTGAAGGCTTCTGCTAGACTATAGAAGCCTCTGAAGGCTTCTGCTAGTCTATAGAAGCCTCTGAAGGCTTCTGCTAGTCTATAGAAGCCTCTGAAGGCTTCTGCTAGTCTATAGAAGCCTCTGAAGACTTCGGCTAGTCTATAGAAGCCTCTGAAGACTTCGGCTAGTCTATAGAAGCCCCTGGGGCTTCTGCTGGTCTATAGAAGCCCCTGGGGCTTCTGCTGGTCTATAGAAGCCCCTGGGGCTTCTGCTGGTCTATAGAAGCCCTCAGGGCTTCTGCTGGCCTATTGAAGCCCTTAGGGCTTCTGTTGGCCTATAGAAGATTTCTGCATATCGTAGCCCCCAGGGCTTCTGGTAGCCTGTAGAAGAACCTAAAGGCTTCTAATAGTCTATATTGGTCCCTGTGGCTTCTAATAGTCTACCGAAGGCCTTGGTGATTCCACTATTCTAGAGAAGCCCTTGAGGGCTTCTACTGGTATGTAAAAGTCCCTGAGGCTCATGCTAGCCTATAAGAGACCTGTGGGCTTCTACTTCGCCTTGTGCGTAATTTTTTTAACATTTCCCAAATTACCATACCTCCCTCTTCTCCCTTTTATTGACTCTTTCGCCCAAGACAAGTGGTCACTTAAAGCAATTTATTTTTAAGTTCGATGTAGCCGTCCCTCAGATGTTTTGTTTTTATTGTTCTTGGTCCATTGATTGTGTTCTACTTACCCCAGGCGTTGTTGTTCCAGCTCTTCTTCGTCTTCCATGATGTCGACAACGGTTGCCATAGCTGCTGCTCCTCCTCCTTGGCTCTGGGTGTTACCAATGTCTCCCGTCGTCGTCGTCGTCGTCGTTGTCGTCGTCGCCTGAGTGAAATGTGAGTGGGATGACATGAGCGTTAATGGTGATGCCGATGTTGATTCACAGGCCAGGCTTCCAGGGTTGTTGGTTAATGTTGATGATGGAGCTGCCACAGTTGCCGAACAAATGGCCGCCGTTGTGTTGCTGTACAAATTGTTAATGTTTTGTTGCTGTTGTTGTTGATGATGATGAGTGGAGTATTGCAGTTGCTGTTGTTGTTGATGTGGGTGCTCAGCTGACAAGGTGACTGACTGGCTTGTCGTCGTTGATGGTGTTGCCATTACCGATTGCTGCTGTTGCTGTTGTTCACCTCCACTCGGATACGTTACAGCTGAAGAAGAGGAGGACGATGAAGAAGACACCGGGTTCTGTGATAAATCATGCCTGCAGGATATATCATTTTCATGCAGCAATGTATTGATCTCTGGGGGTAATGGAGGTTTTGTCAAGAATTTCGCACGTCTGATACCTTGAGAATTCGAAATGAGAGAAAAGAGAGGGAGAAAAGAAAAGAAAAACACAAACAACCAAAAGCAATTTAATAATTTATCAAATAACGCATAAAAGAACAAAGTTTTATTAATAAAAAGACTCTTAACCGCAAAAATCGCAAAGAAGACGAAAGTCGGTCGTTGTTCTCATTTCAATATTTTCTTTTTTTTTTTTTTTTTGTTTTGCTTTAATAAATTTCCAATAATCAATCATCGTTTTTTTTTTTTTTTTTTTTTTTTGTAACGCTTTTCGAGACCAGAAGTAGCAAAAAACTCACTGCCAGCGTTTATTGAACCTGCAATCACTGTTGGTGACAGTCGTTCTTTTTTTTCCTTTGCTGTTATTTGCCTGAACTATGACAAAGCCAGGCAGGGCAAAAAAAAAGTTCGACAAGCCATCGCTGGAAACTTTTTCAATCAGTTTTATTGCAACACATTTTTCTGGCTTTGGCTTTTTGCAAATACTTTCATCCACACCCCCTCCCCTCCCAACCAAATAATGGTCGGGGCGATGTCATGTCACGGCTTGTCATCATTATCATAATCAATAAAGTAAATATGTCAAGCAAATGTGTCAGCGGGGTGGGAATGTGTGTGTGTGTGTTGGTCAGGGGTGGGGAGACTCTTGAGGGTTGAAATTGGAAAGAGGAGTAAGTTAGAAGGAACTATAATTCGAGAAGAAGTTAGAGGACCTTCCAAGACAAGGGGCCTTCGAAGAGACCTTGAAGATACATATCTCCAAGATACCTCCAAGAGACCTGCAAGAGAACTCCTGTAGATATAAATATGTTTTGGAGATATTTTTTAAGAAAAACCTACTGAGGAAGAAATAAAGGCCCATTAAAGCCCACTAAATTTGATTTAAACACACATTTCTAAGTCCTATGTGACTAGAGGATCTTTCAGGTTTTGTAGAAGTCACAAGGTTTTTATGTTTAATACCAGACTCAAGGGTCTCCTGGTCTTCCGTTTTCCAAAGGCCTTTCGTAGGGCCAAGTGCCTTATAGATTCTGCAGATAAATCAGGGATTTTATAGGTGCTATTTTATGACCCTGGGGTCATTTGGACATTTTTATACCCTCCGCCATATCATGGAGGGTACATTAATTTTGTCACTCCTCGAAATACTCATGTCAGACCCAACAAGGAATATATATTCTTGATCAGCGTAAAATTATAAGTCGATTTAGCGATGTCCGTCCGCCTGTCTGTTTGTCTGTCTGTCTGTTGTAATCACGCTATCTTTCGAACGAATTGAGATAGAAGGTTAAAATTTTGCACACATGTTTATTTTTTCAGTAGGCAGGTTTAGTTCGTAAATGGGCCATGTAAGTCCACATCTTCGTATAGCCCCCATATAACGGTACCTCCCGATATTCGGTATTTTGATGATTTTAGCGTCATTTTTCAACGGAATTGTTTCAAATTTGGTATTTGGAGTTCGTTACGGATGCTACATCCTATGACAGAAAATTGTCTGTGCAGATCCACGTCTTCGTATAGTCCCCATATAAAGGTGCATCCCGATATTCGGTATTTTGATGATTTTGGCGACATAATTCATCGGAATCGTTTCGTTTTTGGTATTTGAAGTTCGTTATGGATACTTCAGCCTATGACAGAATCTTTTCTGTACAGGTCCACGTCTTCGTATAGCCCCCATAAAATGGTTCCTCCATTTTTTCGGTATTTTGGTGATTTAAGCAACATTATTTACCGGAATTGTTTTAAATTTTGTATTTGAAGTTCATAATGGCTATTACAGCTTATGACAGAGAATTTTCTGTGCAGGTTCACGTCTTCGTATAGCCCCCATATAACGGTATCACCCAATATTCGGTATTTTGATGATTTTAGTGACATTATTCACCGGAATTGTTTCAAAATTGGTATTTGAAGTTCGTTATGGGAACTACAGTCTGTGACAGAAAATTGTCTGTGCAGGTCCAGGTCTTCGTATAGCTACGGTATATCTGTACCTCCCTATATTCGGTATTTTGACGATTTTAGGTACAATACTCACATAAATTGTTTCAGATGTCATATTTGATGTTCGTAATGGATGCTACAGCCTGTGAGAGAAAATTGTCTATGCAGGTCCAGGTCTTCGTATAGCTCCGATATATCAGTACCTCCCTATATACGGTATTTTAATGATTTTAGCTACACTATTCATCGTTTACTTCAAGTTTCGAATTTGAATATGGTAATGGCTTACAACAAACAATGCCTATGCAGGTCCACGTCGTATAGACCCCAATATGACGGCTATATTTAGTATTTTTACGATTTGAACAGAATTTTTAACGGATTTTATTTTTTGAAAATTTTCAAATTCGTTCCAAATAGTGGATGGTATTCAAAGTTCGGCCTGGCCGAAATTACTGCTTTTTAAATTGTCTAATTCTAAGGACTTCCTTGAGTCCTGGACATATTAAAAACTTGTAATTGATCGCTAGCAGCCTTTCTATAAAGATTTTGAATTGGAATTTTAAAGGGCCCTCTTAAGGACTCCCTTGTTGTTTTTTTTTTTAATTTTTGGTCGAGTTACTTAAATTCCTTTAAACTTGATTTTTAAGGGACTCTTCAACATGTATTCTTTTCAAAAATTCTAAATCCTTTTCTAAGCCTCCAAAATAAATTTTTAATTTGACATTTTAAGGAATTTTTTTTAAGTTCCTTAAAGGTCCCTGAACGCAGAGTTTTCTCTTGGAGGAGGAAGAATTTTTAAATGATCTCCAACAGCCTTTTCACAAAGGATTTTTAAGGTTCCTCAAAATCCTTATAAAGTGGTTAATTAAAAAAATCACAAAGGCTCCCTTAAGGACTTCCACGTAGATTTTTTACTTCTAGGAAGGTTCATTGAATTCCTTCAAATTTGATTTCTTAAGGACTTCTTCAAGGCTCTACAACATGGAATATTTCCAAGAAATCGTAGTACTGTTTTTAGGCCTTCAAAATGATTTTAAATTGGAAGCATTTTTGGATGTAAAAAAAAGTAGAAGAAAAACTTCTTCCTTCTGGAGGAGGAAGCAATTTTAAATGATTTTTCATGAGGAATTATTATGGTATTTTAAAGAGGCTTCCTTAAGGACTTCCAAGTTAATTTTTGCTTTTCATTCTAGGAGGGTTCTTTGAATTCCTTAAACAGGGGTTTTAAGGGCTCTTTCAAGGCTCTTCAACATGGAATTTTTCCAAAAAAATCTAAATTATTTTTTTAAGCCTGAAAAATAGATTTAAATTGGAGTTTTGAAAGAAGTTTTTGAAGTTCTTTTAAGGCTCGCAAACAAAGATTTTTTCAAAAAAAAAAAAAAAAAAAAACAAATAAGAAGATAAAATTAAAAATAAAATTAAAACGAAAAAAGTATGTCTTCAAAGGGCACCTTGGACTTTTGAAATATTTTCTGGAGGCACTTTAAACGACCCCAAACGTGGGATTTTAAAATAAATGTTGGATGTTTCTTCAAGGATCACACAATAAGGTCATTAAAAAATTAGAAGTTTTAAAATAATTTTTAGGTACCCTTTTAATCACCCCAAAGAACTGAATTCAAAGTAATTTTTGGAGGCTCCTTAAGAATCCCATTTTTAAAGTCATTTTAGAAGGTTTTTTAGGGACCAAAAAAATAGTTTTTTTTTACCTTCAACATTCTTTAAAAGATATTAATTTTTTACAAAAATTGGTTCTGAAGCACCTTAATTATACCCTACAACACTATGTGTTGGGGGTATTGTAAGTTTGATCGGGCCAAAAATTATGTAACACCACGAAATATTGGTTTCCCACATAGGAAAGTATATATGGATCATCCTAGCTCGCCGAGCTGAGTCGATCTAGCTATGTATGTTCGTCCGTCCGTCTGTCCATGTTAATTTGTAATCACTCTACAGGTCGCAATTATGGCCCGATCTTCACGAAATTTGGAATGGAGGTCGGGGTTGGGCCAGAATAGAACCCTTTTCTTTTGGAGATGATCGCTAAATGTTTAGGGGTTGAAATGGACCAAATACTGAAAAAATGTCGGATTTTGCAGTAGCTATACAGGTCGCAATTATAGACCAATCGACGGAATTTCGCATGTAGCTAGAGTTTAGGACGGGGAAGAAGCCTACCAATTTGGGTGGTCATCGGATAATATTTAGCGGGTAAAATAGACCATATATTTTGTGTTGAAAAAATTCAACAATTTTCATTAAACCGCGAATATTTTAAATCCCGGCGAAATCACAAAGCCATGACAAGGTTACTTCTGACCTTTACATTGATGTTAACATCCAACAAATCGGATATATAGCAAAATATGTTCGATATATATGTCTATCAAAGAAGATATGCTTGAAAGATCCCTTATATGTCGAGAACGGCTGAACTGATTTCGACAGTTCTCATTAATTCAGAATGGCCTCTTGGCAGGAAAGAAAAAACGTCTAAAAAAATCGCATAAAAATATCTCTCTAAAGATGAAAATATTGATTTTCTAACATTTTCTCATATTTTTTCAATTTTGTCATATTTTTGGCATATTTTCATTTTGAATTAAACATTTGGTAATATTTCTACAGCTAACAAAACTAAGTAGTTATGACATCAGAATATCATATACAGATCGCATTTATGGCCCGATCCTTACGAAATTTTGCATGGGGATAAGATGAGGGCCAGAATAGAAGCCTACTCTTTTTGGAGATGATCGCCATATATTTAGGGGTTGAAATGGACCAAAAAACTGCAAAATTGTCGGCAGATCGTAATTATCGCCCGATCATCACGCACATTTGAAAGGGGGTTACCGGACATTGCAAAAGCCAAGCAGTTTTGGATGGCCATCCAAAAATATTCAATGTGTGAAATAGTTTGCCAACTTTTGTAGACAAAATACGAAAATGTCCATTCCAGAGACTTTTTCGAGAATTCGCAAATACAGGAAAGACGCACTTCTGACAATTTCGTTAACGAATATAGTCAAATGTCTGCATC